CCCCAGCAGTGACGCGCCGCTTCAGAGCTGGAGCCCGCGCAGCGCCTCGCAGAGCGATGGACTGCCGAACCCCGAGCGCGCAGGACGCCCCGGCGGTGCCCACGTCGCTGGCCGCCCCAGCAGGGTAAGCTCCGAGCGCCGCGCCGCGGCTCTCCGAGGAGGGCGAGAGCAGCAAGGCCTCGTGCGGGTTACCTGGCTGGCAGTTCGCTGCTCTGCCAGCGGCCTGACTCATTAGCCGCGGCCGGGAAAGCTGCTTCCTCCCAGCCTTCTCAGAGGCCGTCCGGGGAAGGGGCACGGGTAGTTTCTTCTTTCTTTTTGGGGCTGCCTTGGGTCACGGAAGGCCAATGAATGCCAGCAGTTGGGTGAGAGTCCGGGAGCAGAATTGTAACAAAGGGCCCCTTGTTGGAGCTCTGGACGAGCGATGGACGATATCTGTAAGGGAGCTCCTGGGAAGGGAGTTTAAAGAAAAGTTTCCTCGGCCTAGGGCTGGTGCCCGGGTAGGTGAGCAATGTCAAGGTGACTGTAAGAAAGGGGCTTCTGCTGGCGGGGGGAGGGGGATGGAGTGTGTGCCAGCTGTCAGCCCGCTTGACAGTTCCGGGAGCAGGCGGGGTGCGCGCCTCTGATTGGGGGTGTGTGTGCCTGTGGCCAATTGCTGGTGCCTGAGCCAAGCGCAAAGTCAGCCTGCAAACAACTGTACTTTTCTTTTTATCCTCACGTGTTTGAGGAGAGATTGGAGGGGAAGGGGCTGTCACATGGTGAGTTAATATTAAATGAAGCATGTCTTCCTGCCAGATATGCTAATAATCGCCTTGCTAAGCGTTTGGGTAAACAGTAAGGAGAACAGGTAGTTCTGCTCCAGATGAGAACCTGAAAATAACCTTGGTCTTGGTAACTAGTGCGAGTGCGGCAGGGGTGCTGGTTGAGCTTCTGAAGTGGGAAACCCCTTTGATGGTAGTAGAACTTCTTCCCACAGGTGTTCTCCCAACTCAGGGGTAGCTTTTCTTAATCTGAACCCAGAAATACCCTAAAGAGAATACTCACATACCAGAAACAGAAACAAATGTTAGGGAAAACCTGAACGGTGCTAACTCACATCACAAAGATTGACTTTGCCATTGGTGAATGAGAGTTGTACAGTTTTTAACTTTTTTTTTAAATTTAAAAGTGGAGAGGTCATTTTTCCCTGGAACATGACAGGCGTTTCCTTAGGAGCGAGTCACAGCATGTTTATTCATCTCAGGCCATACGAGCATTGGCAGTTGTCTAGAGGAAACATGGAAAAGTCTCACAGCAATATGACTAATCTAAAAGATATTCAGTATAATGCTTACGTAGAGGAAACATGTAGTGTATGAATTAATTCTTTTATCTTGCTCATCCCCTACCCCGCCTGGCACAAACAGCCCTATGGCTGTTGATTTCTGTTCCTCTTCTTTTTTCCAGTTTTCTTTTTTTTTTTTATTTGTCGAGACTTTATCATACATCCTTTCATCTATCCACACATGAAGATATGAGTAAAGAAATACATTGGTAGAAAGATACCAAGCATAAAAGCAAAGTCTTTAAATGGAACTGCAGAGTTATATAAATTGATGCTGGGGCAGTTTTCAGAACACTGAGATGTATTCAGGTATGTACCACAAAATAAGAATTATTGATAAATGGACAGATTTGGAAATGGATTAGGTTAATGTTTTTTTTTTTTTTTTAAAAATGCCCTCTTGCACATGCTACACCCATTGGTGTTTAGAAATCAAATGATACTTTCAATGACTCTATGATGAAAGAATGGAAAGAGCTTTTTAGTGACAAGTGACTACAGTAAAATACTTAAGATTTTGCAAATGTTTTTTCTTTTGGAGAGGTTTTTAGGTATAGGCCGTGCGTGATCACCAGAAGGAGAGAGACAGAAAGTGAGAAATCACCCGCAGAAGTGATGGCCATGCCGCAATCCCTTCTCCATTGTCCTCTCAGGATCTTGGATACACATGTACACATGCCTGGCATGAGTTTAAGCTCCCAGATCCAGGACTCAAACCATGGTCAACTACATGGAAGTCCAGAGACATAGTCATTACACCATCTGCTCGTCCCAAGATTTTGAGAATTTAAAGGTTAAGTTGATAAACTCTGCTTTGAAAGAATGTGTAAAAGTAGTATCACAAATAATACCTCAAATATGAAGAGAATATTTTAAAAAAGACTTTGACCTTCTCTTCAAGTTGAAGGAAGGACATTTACATAAATGCTTCAATAACTTACATAAAATAACCTTCCATTCTATCATTTTACCTTACAACATTCTATTCAGAGAAGTTATCAGTACGTGAAAAATATAAACATACAAAAATTACTTCTACTTCATCTGTCGTCATCCACTAGTCTTTTGGCATATCGCAAGTGCCTGTTATATAACATTTGTTGAATATTCACTATTGCTCTTGTTCTTTCCCAGAGACCAGAACATTAAAAGGTTTTCATTGTGGAAAATTACTAGATAAGTGTATTTGGGCGTGTCAGGGAGCCATATTAATCAATATGTTTTAATTGTTAGATTTTTGGAAGCAAACTCCTTAGTATAAAAAAATGACTAATTATATTACTTTGACACCCAATGAGGTCCAGATTAGTCTCTATCTTTAGATATTACTGTTTGAAAGAAATCTTCTGCAATTTTCCAAGTTTTACATTGTTGTAATAGGTCATTTTAACATTGTGACAGGTCTCCTTCTCCACATTTTACAAATGAGAATTGAAGCCCAGAGACACTGAGTACTGTGAAATCTCAGAGCAAATTAGTAGCAAAACCAGAGGGAAAACCCAGGACTTTAGTTGTCTAGTTCACGTTGTGTTAATTGCTTTTCCTCTTTTCCTCTCCAAAGTATGATGTAATAATCTACTACATTTTAACAAATCCCGTCATTAACAGAGTACGGCACTTTTTTTTCCTTACATTTCAGGTACTGTATGGTCAATATCTTTTTCCCTACCTGTATTTATTTTATTTCTCTGATAAATTAGCATATTCAGAGAATGATTATTTTAGAAAAGTGTTTTATAATCCTTCAGCTGCTGCTTTTTCTTTAAAACGTTCTAAATACTAATTTTTTTTTGGGGGGGAGAGGTTTTTTGCTATAGGGTGTGTGCGCTGGCCAGACAGACAGAAAGCGAGAAATCACACCCCCCCCCCCCCCCGGGGGTTGCACGCCCACCCGGCTTCGGGCGATGGCCACGCCACAGTCCCTTCTCCTCCATTTGCCTCTTGGGATCTTGGGCACGCATGCACACGTGCCCAGCATGAGTTTTAAGCCACCGGGTCTGGGATGCGAACCGCGGTCGACTACATGGGAGTCCAGTGACATAGCCATTACGCTAACTGCTGGTCCCCTAAATACTAATTTCGACATTACGAGGAAGAGTTTAAAGTTTTTTCAGCGCCATTTCACTCACTTCTAGTGATTTATACTATTTTAAATGATGTGAGGTAGGTGTTATTTTCTTCCTTTTCAGTGAAGCAACAGTGCACAGGAGTTGTGGCTGCCTTGTGCCCTCAAGTGGTCTGATCGAGTGGCCATCTTGAGTGTCTTTTATTTGGCTCCCAATGTTTCCCTGAACCCCTTGCTGTTCTACATTGGGTTTCTTTCTTAAGATCAAGCAGAAAGTATTCACTTTATGTTCTATGTTTCATGGGCTTTAGAATAAGGCTTGGAGTTCAGTCTTCAAAAGCTGTTGAGTCACAACAGTTTTAATTTTCCTTTGGAATTAAAGTTTTGCATGTAGCCTTTTAAAAAATTTTTTTTATTTGCTAGATGGCTCATGGGTTCTGGCTGGAACAGGTGAGAGAGACAGAGCAAGGGGGAAGAGAGAAAGCATCCTCTGATAGGGCATGGGCACACCGCAACCCCTTCTCCTCCATTTCTCCACTCTGTTGGAATTCAGGGCATGCATGCATGCTTACCATGTGTTTTTCAAACCGCCAGACTAGACTGAAACTGTGTGTTTGGCCATGTGGGTTCTATCTGCCTTCACTATCAGGCCATTGAGCCAGCCTGTATGTGACTTTATATACTAGGGGACTTCAAAAATCTATGGAAAAATGGAATTAAAGTATGAGTTTGTTTTGGTGCAAAACTTTTTTTGAAATTCATGCACAAATTTTTATGTAATATGCATCTTCCATGAATTAAAAAATTTATAATTTCTTATCTACATTTTATTCCATGAACTTTTAAAAGACCCCTCATATATGTATTTATATATAATATGTACATTGATATATACTCTTATATAATATATTCATATGTATATTCATATTGTTAAAAGAAAAACTTCTGACAATTTAACTTAGCAGAGTTTAACTGAGCAAAACAATCTGGCAACCCCCAGAGTGGCTTCCAAGGAACCCTATTAGCCCACTTGTTGGGTGATACTTAAGTGCAGAAAAAAGAATGTGACATACGAAACAAAACAAAAAAACAAACAGAGGTGAGGGAATGAGCTAGAGGAATAATTGGATTGGTTACAGCCTGGTGTGTGCCTGCATGAACACAGTTTGAAAGGTGGGGCTTTCTGTGATTGAAGCGGTACTGCTGTGATTGTAACTCTGCAGCTTGGCTAAGGAAGCAGACTTCCAAGTGAGGTAGTGGTTTGTTTATAGGACTTCAAGTATGCGAGTACAGAGGCTGTCTCAGATATAGTTCAGTTTAGCAATATGTAATATTATTCACATGTAATACATATGTATTCCTACTTTATGTGCTTTCACATATCCATGAAAGTGGACTGATGTAATTGCATGGTGACGCAGACGAAAATGGTAATAAATCACTTTTATATTTCGTATTTTTTTACAAAGGGGAAATACTAGGTTGGCACACGTGTGTGTGTGTTCTGAAGTGAGCAACAGTATTAGAGACATTGGTTGCAAGATTGTAATGCTGCTTTAGAGGGGCATGTGGTGGTGACCCAAAGTGATTTTTTTTCTGCTGTAAATATCTAGTTAGTGAAGTTACCCAGGTTTTCTGTATGAGGGTAATTCACAAAGTTCATGGACAAATGGAATTAAAGTATCCATTTATTTTGGTGCAAAATTTTTTGAAATCTATGTGTGCTATTTTCATAATG